TTCTAAGCATGTCATGTAATTTAACTCATTTAATATCAGCTTTTAGAACTGCTTTTAGTATTTTCATTATTATTATAGAAGATAAGGGGGAGACATTAGTATTTCTATTTATTACCATCCTATACTCATAAGAAAACTGAGTATGTGAAATTGCCACGGGCTAATGAGAATAGAAACTGGGGTATCACACAACATATTTCATGAATCTGACTTTGTAGTAATTGAAGTAGTAGAAAATGGTGGAAACATATAGTAAAATGGACACGATAAGCTCAAAAAATACTGGTCACAAAAAAACAGCCCCATGTCTGTGTAATCCATCATCAAAACCATCACTAAGTCCTTTTGCTCTATTTCCTAGAGATAGCTAGACTCCACTAACCTCTATTCATTTCCATGTGATCACCTAGTCATGATGAGGAAACTTGGAGACAGATCCCTGTGGCATCCATTACATGAGGAACCTGGAAAAGCTCCCTGGAAAGTCTAGACTGGATTTGGAAGTGTTCTTGGGGGAATTCAGGACACAGAAGTCACATGAGGACCAAATGGGAAACCGAGGCGAAGGGAGGCTATGAGGCCTACCTCCTCAGGGAGATGTATGAGCTCAAAAGGCAGAGAGACTGACATCCCGAAACTCCAGATTCAAGTCTTCTTCTTTAAGTAACCAGAGGCAGACACTTTAATTTTGCCAATAGTTCCCACAAAAACCTCTGGATTCTTAGCTCACTTACCTTCCTAAGGTCACAGCTTCTTCTGGAGCAGATCCCCAGGGTCAAGGGGAAAACATGGTCAGATTGGCTAGGACTGAGGTATGGCTCTTTTTAGAAAACAGATGAGACCATACAGTAATCAGTGAACTAAACATGAAGGACAGTGTTCTCCAACAGAAATCTGTGGTATCACCAGGAAAGAGAAGATTAATCTTGGGAAGGCAAAAGCAATAAATTTCTATCATAACAGCTAATCATGACTCAGTTGATGGTTTGATAATTTTTTAAAAACTCTGAGCTGGCACAATGAGTTTATATATACACGGCTATGTTCTGAAAGCCAAGAGAAATGCCAAGCATAACCCCAGGGTAGAGAAGAATTTATGAAGAAAACAGACCCCTGGCAAAGCCGACTGTCTGCCCCATACTCAGCAAATGAAGCTCAACTTAATTGCTTGCAGCCTTGGATAAACTTCTAACTCTTTAGCCCTAGGAGAGGAAAAATTGCATAGACAACCTGCTTTCTCTCCTTGGCATGCTGAGTCTCTGAGAAAGTTATTTAACCTCTCTCAGCAGTGATTCCCCAGCTGTAAAAATAGAATGACAATCTTTGCCCATTCAGTGCTGTAGGCAGGGCTGGATGGAGAGAATCTATAACAAAGTCTTTCCGGACTGTGGGCTAGACAAATTTGCAGAAATGTGGCATCAGGATTTTGGGGTTTAGTTAACAGTCAGGTTTAAAGCAAAGTTTCTCCCAGCTCTCAGAATACTTGATAATGTTTTTACCTGTTTTTCATGCTAGTGTAAAATGGAACCCACTGGAATTACATTTTCTTTATTGGCATTGGTGCTGGACACTCCCTGAAGCTGGTAGCAGTACCATGAAGTGAGGGTTAAGTGCCCTGATTCTGGGTGATGGACAAGTGAGTACATCTTTAAAGTCAGAACCTAATAGGGGAGGAGGGAGAGAGAGAGAGAGAGAGAGAGAGAGAGAGAGAGAGAGAGAGAGAGAA